AACCCCCCCCCCGTCTTCACAAAAAAACGCTGGAGTCAGGAGAAAATAAAAAAAAAAAAAAAAAAGTTCAGGACAAAGAAAAGGTAAAGAATGAAATTTCTGCAAATCATAAATTACTCATTATGCACAGAATACAGATCAAAGCAAACCAATGAAGAAGAAAAATGGTCTGTCACTTATTTAGTCCAGCTTGTTTGCATCTGAATCTGTAAAGCTTATTTTGTATCTGACTCCGTAAAGCACGTGGGACTAGAAAAAACAGAACTAGTTTACATGGACTAGACTGGTTAGCCAACCTGGCTAGCAGGAGTACAAATTAAGAATCACTGCACATTTCTTAGCTTACACCTGTCCTGCCAGAAAATCGGGCTATTGCATATACGTACTATTCACCCCTAAAGACAGCAGGTGCCTGCTTCTGTCACTTTGCGCTAGCCTCTTATGGTTGACCACTGAGGGATTCTGCACGCAGTCCCCATCAACCCTTCTTAGTTCATTTACAAGGTGAGACAAGATGGTCTGCTGAATGGGACAAAATGAAAAAGACAGGCAATTCTGTCCACAGTGAATGATGGGAGAGGAGAAAAAGGGCCAAAATAATTACAAGCAGGTCTGAACTTAAGACAAAATGCTGAGAAGTAGATATACTTCACCGCAGATCCAGGACACATCACGAAGTACAGACAGACAGACTCAACCTCAGCCAGCACATGCTCTAGGCTGGCTGGCCTCTAAGTTGACTTTAGGGATCCAAAGCTACCAAAACAGCTCTGGGATGAACTTTGGAGACTCTACTGAGGAATGTGATCTCAATATGAACAATATTGAGAATTTCGTAGAAACGAGGAAGGGAAAGGCAAGAAGGAATTAATTCCCACCACACACACTAGATCTGCAGGCATTTTTTGATAATTAAAGAGTAATTTTTTGAAGACCGTATATCATTGCATTCAGTGTGGTATCATCAAAATCTGGCAGCATGGTAAGTGCCCTACTCAGGTATGCTTAAAATAGCGCTGTGGGATATTTGTGCTGTGGCAACAAAAATTCCAGTGGATGAACTGCAGAGTGTGCATACCGAAACTCATGTACCTACAGAAGCGTGAATGTCATTTCAGAGGCAAAAGTCTAAGCTGAACCATGGTTGTTCCAAAGTCTAGCAAGACATTTTCTTTCATCACTTTATGGTTTCATGATTTGCTCAGCTGATTGTTATCCAGCCAATCTGTTACCCAGAAGAGGTGCAACTGCTATCTATGACATCAATTTGACTTTCTACTGCACATTTACCTTCCCCATAATCTTCAAAATCTTGTCAGCGAGGAGATATTGTGTGAAGGGGGGAAACTTAGCTGGGCAGCTGCAATTCCAGGAGTCTAAAAAGCCAGCTTGGCATGGAAACAAGTTTAAGAGAACGGGGAAGGAGAGGCAGCTCAAAACGATGGACAATAAAAAATTGCAGCAAGAAGGGAAAAGAATTTTCCAGCATCCCCCGTAGTTTTCTTTAGTAACTACAAATGGAGATTTTAGGATTTAAGAAACTTTGAGAAGGGAATGCCTTTTTGGCTCCACGTTGCTGGGGAAGAGGGCCTGTCTCTAGCATAGCATGATCACCATCAGTGATTGCAGATCCTTAGCATCTTCACTGTATAAATCAATTAAAAAAAGACTATGTCTAAGTGGCACGCACATATCAAAGCAGGAATTTTTAAGACTGGAAGGATATGATACATGAAGTCCCACATTATTTCAACATTCAGGAGTTATCCAAATTCCAGTTTTGAATCATTAACTTCCCTCCATGCTAAAACTGCACTATTGAAAAATACCTGTTCTCAGGCAACCCAGGAGAGACTTCAATGTTTATTCCCATTTGGAAGCAATAACAATCTTCTGCTTCCTCCTAGATGAGGATCTGCCAGTGAAGTAAACAAAGTTATTTGCAGTTGACCTAGCAGGTCTTGGCAACTTGCACAGAAACACGGGCTTGCTTGGTTATGGCACTCCTCATTTTAAGTGATTATGTGTTCTCTTTTGTTCAGCCTCCTTTCTCAGCACAGTTAAGGAGTGACTAAGAACAGAAATTTAATTTATTGTTGAATTCAAGTCTTTTAACTTCATTTTATAGAAAAATATTCCTTCCCTCCCCCCTCTCTAGCTGTCACTTTTCCTTCAGCATTAGTGATGGAGCCAGAAAATGTTCTTATTCCTATGTTGGCAGCAAACATTAGTGGTCTCTTCTTAGCTTCCTTATGATTTAATATGTTAATTCCTAGACAGTAAAAAAGAAAGGAAGAAATACAAAATCAGCGAAGCAATGGGATAACCTATGTCCTGCTAAGTCTGCCTTGTGATTTGACGGGAGAGCAACGAACATTAATCACGTCGTCCCTTCCCCAGTGCGAGCAACACTACACTGCCAACTGTACACAGAGACAGTCTTCCCATCAACTAAACTGCTATTTTTCTTAGAATTTGCATTGTATCAAGACAGGTAAATAATGTGACATTTATTACATTTTTACAATATTTACATATCATGTCAAGGTCGAAATTGGCTTTTACTATGGACTCGGTTGCCTTTTCTTTTTAACCATTTCCTGGTAAACAAACTTTCCACTGTTCGAAGTTTTAGCTCATACTTTCTTTTCTTGACATGAATCCTTCTGATTATAACGGAGCTATCGAGGCACATAATGCAGGCAGTACTTGGGCTGACCATATTAAAGCTTCTCTTTGGAGGAAGATATTTGTTACTGGTGTTCTAACCCAGCTTACGGATACACCACAGGAAAAGAGAGCTAACCTTCAGCCCCCTCTTCTCCGACTAGTTGTGGTAACGGCAGGTTAGAAATTAGAAAAACGTGTGCTATACATCTGATACTTTGCTTTCCACACTTACAAACCACCTCAAACTTAGTGAAATTACATTTCAAATACACTTTTTCAAGTGGCTTGTAAGATCCCATACACTAAGATGAGGTAGTGGGCTTCCTTTCAAGAACAGCAACAAATTCTTTAAGCTATTTTCCAAATTGTCAAAATGGAATTTTAAACTGTAGTTTTTTTAAGTTTTTAAAAAATAATAGCTTTAATTTCATAGTACTTTTAGGAAAGTTTTTATATCTTTGTAATATTTTTTAAATGTGATGTACATATATAAAACTTGTGTACATGATGGTTTCACCATAAAGTTTGTCCACAGTGGTTGTCTGGAATACATTTCATCAACATCATTTACCATCAATAAGGGAAAGTGTGCTTCAGCTAAGATTTTAAACCATGATCATAACGTGCACGGTGTTGGCTTTTGGATCTGTGACTAAAAGAGCGTTGGTCAGGCGCCAGTGTTTAGGCTCTCGCTAAGCAATACTGGCACGGTGTCAAGGCCACCTCTTCTCCCCACACTGCTTTCCCCCAGTCTGCAGGCTGGGGGTGAGCCAGAAGCTGGGAGGGGACACGACCGCGACAGGTGACCCCAACTGCCCAAAGGGATACGTCATGCCACATGACGTCATGCTCAGTAATAAAAACAGAGGTGGGTGGCGGGAGGGCGTTGGGGAGGTAGCCGTTGCCTGGAAATGGCTGGACACCTGTCTGGTTGTGGGAGGTGGTGACCGATTGCCTTTGCACGCTTATTTTGGTTTTCTCTTCCTCTCTCCTTCACGCATTAAACCACCTTTCTCTCGACCCGTGCATTTTCTCACTTTTGCTCTTCCTATTCTCACTAGTGCTTAGCTGCCGCCGGGGTCAGCCCACCACACCTACACATCCTTTCCTGCCGTCCTTGTTGGAGCTATAGGATTCCTTCAGAGGAGGAACACACAGCTTTAAACACAGAGGCAATTAAGTTATTCACACACAAGCGAACATACATGCATGATTTGATGATATAACCTCCTCCTCAAAACTGAGTTTGCTAAGAGACCTAGTCACCAAATCTAACTTAAAGTCTCACCTGGTGCCACACATCCAATTATTTGTTCTGTGAAGCTCTGAAGGAGATGTCATATAATAGCAGTTAATAGCAGTTAAACAGCTTCTGAGCCAAAAGGTACCGTACTGCCTGACATAAATCATGGGCTGGCATAAAGGAATACAGCACGCTGAGTCACGTTGGGTTTCAGAAAAATTCTGGTGCTCTTCAAAAGCAGAGCGATTAATTAGAGGTCAAAATATCTTTTTTGTTTTGGGTCAAAACATTTGGATTTTATTGTTTCATGCATTTGGAAACAAACTTCAAAAAAAAACCCCCAAAACTTTCTTTTTTAAAGAAAAGAAAGCCGGATACTTCTTCAGGTAAGAGAATAAATGAAAAATGAGGAAACACATTTCTCTCTCAAAAGGCAAACAACCACCAGCAGTTCACTTTAAATATCTGTAAAATCTACACTCTGATCAATGTGCCAATTATAGAACTTACATGAGAAATTTCTGGTTTTTAACAGAAAGAAACAAAAAAGCAACTGTATTCTAATTCAGTCTCATTGATTATTTTTACAAGTCAGCGGTGTGGATATTAGATATATATTTTTACCTACCTTTCATACTGAGGTGGGGAAAAAAGGAGTAAAGATTGTCAAAAGTTTAATTATCCATATTAATCTTCCATGACACTCCGTGTGCTGGTTACAATCACAAGCAGTAATTCGGGTTCCTCATTTAAAATGAAATTTTAAACGATCGATTGACTCACCTTCTGCTGACAGCCCCTGTATGTTAATTCCCTTAGCAGCCAAGAAACTCAGGCACGCATCTATGTTTTCAATCTGTTCAAGAACAAACAAACAAACAGGAGACACAAAAAGAAAATGCATTGTAATAATTGTTTACTCTTGTCTCCTGCCACCCTTTATTGCACTCAGTCTTTGTATCACATAAAAAGTCCCTTTGCTCATTATGTGGAAACCATAATATGAAACCTCCTCAGTTACTACAGTCCTAAATTGCTCGAGTATTATGTGGGTCGGGACTTTCTGTTATTTGTACTTGCATGAAGCAAGTTATTTAATACTCTAACCACGAAAGAGGATCACTACATATCTTACTACAGGGTCAAGGATGTTATGCCAGGATTTTAAACCTACAATAAGTATAACAAACATGAAACCGAAAATAAACATGGAAGCCACATATGCTTGAGAAGGCAGATTGCCACTTGCTCTTAAGTGGACAGCTGGCAAAAGTTTCCAGCCACAAAAGCAGTCAAATATAAAAACTGTAACTGGAAACCTCAGCTGGAATCCAAAAAACGATCACTCGCGACATCCTCCGCGTGTCAGAAATGACAGGCAACCCTGGTCGCTCACTGTGGGGCAAATCCTGCCCTTCAGAGAGATGGTACAACAGCATTAAACTGCACAGGATAAAACGAATTTTGACCAGGTAGGGTCTTCTGCACAACAAGTCTGACTGTTAGTGACTACAGCTGCTATATACAGACTGCATTCAAACCCTACCCAACAAAGTGAACTCCAGAAGAGCTGGACGAGTTAGGCATTCTTTCCCCCGTATCTCAACATCATGATAGAGATCTTGCAGTAGCTTCACACCTAGTTTCCCACCAAGCTACCACCAAAGCTCTGCTGTCATATTCAGAAGACGCAGGGAGATGCCAGCCCTCCCTTCACCCCACTGCACTTCTATGCAAAAGCCTACACTTCGACACCTACGCTTCGACACCTCAAAAAGCTGCAAGGAACTACGTTTTAGGAAATATCACGTGTTTCATGTGTGGTTACACAGAAGACTTCTGGATGATACCACCGAGTAATTTTTGCTTTTATCATGGCAATCAGTAAGTGATAAAATAGGGTCTCCACGTTTGAATGTCTTGCAAGCATTAATTTATTAATTCCCAAAACATTGCAACCAAACACTGCTTTCACTTCATAGATAAGAAAGCAGACAGACACCAAGCCCCACACTTGCTATCACTTAACTACCTTCCTTCTATGAAGTCTGGAGACATCAAAAGGGAACGTGAAAGATCCAGCTTCCCTGTCAGCTCCTGCCTGCCCTCAAAAAGATATACAAGTGAGGGCTGTGCGGCATTCCGGAGGCTGAGCTCCCAGCACCTGACCTGCGCTTCCCATCCTTCTCAAAGTAATAAAGAAGTACAAGGCAAGCTGCCAGAAAACCTCTAGCATGGATTCCTCTCAAGGTACTTTCATTTATTGTCTATAACAGTAAAAACATTGTCAACTGTTGGGGCCTCATACTTTGAGATATACTATATCAAAGTATACAGACTATATAGTATACTTATAGTATAATATATAGTATACTCAAATATATATATATATAGAATGCTATATACTTCCAAACCCAAATAGATACCAAAAAATACATTTTCTGTAATGTTCAGACCTTAAAGCTTGTAGCAGGGTGCAGTTCAAATATGATACAACAGTCAATCTCTACCTGTTTCCTTCCTCAGTGCTCAACAACCCTTTCGAGTTTTCAACACAGCTCTTCTATTGAGGTGGTTTGGGACTTTGCCGGAAAGCCAAAGTTTACCTTTTCAAGAACAAACACCACACAAAAGCATCAATCCGTTTCTACCACCTGCACTTAACAAGTCTTCTTCATTCCAAGAACGTTTCCAGTCTTCCACAGCTGTGGGTAGATTTCTCCTCTCCTAGTAAGGAGGATTACTAGGTATGATTACTTAGGTTAGTGAGTCAAGAGAAGCAATATCTCATCTCAACTCCAGATCTGCAGTCGTAGAAACTCAAAGTAGTTCTGTCAGTCCTGCTTTGCTTCTCTTCCCAGGTCCCTTATCTTTGCTCAAACTCTCCTTTAGGACAGAGTGACCACAGGGTTAAGATTTACTTCTGGGTAGCAAGTTCCTCGTCCTGCCCTCATTCTTGGTGCTACATAGTCCTTGCCGACTTCCTAATCTCATGCTCATTGCAGAGCCGATTCAGATTCACAGAGTACCCTTTATAATCACTACCACCTCTTCCCTGGGACAAAGCCCCAGTTTTTACTGAGTATTTTAGCCACCTAATGAAGATACACGGCTCCCGTGCCCAGACTGATGGATGACTCCCCAGCAGAGCACTAATGCTTGAGATGTGTATCTGGAACACAGGTTGAGTGACCTTGACCTCGCTGCTTTGGACACACGGGCTACCTTGCCACGTCAGTTGTAATGCCTGGCTAAAGGCTGTAAAAAGCAGGGGCTTTTTAGTGCTATATTGACATAGAAAAAGAATGAGGGGGAAAAAAATATACAGTAATATAAAATGCAGAAGAAAGACTGCAGGAAGTGGACTACCAAAAATTTATGATTTTACATAGATTTACATATGATTACATATGATTATTTTACATACGATTTTGCAGTCAAGAACTCTTAAGAATCAAAACATTACAGAAACAGGATAATATCCTATTTCAGTACTTAAAACCAGGCATGATGAAATAAAGAGGTAATAACAGAGGCTTGCAAAAACCAACCACTTACATTCAGAAAATAAAGTACTACAATAAGATCCTACAAGGATGTACAGCATCGCATGCACGAGGAATTCACTAAAAAAAAACACTACCGAAGGACAAAAAAGCATCAATGATTCTGTTAACATTTATGCAGTATCATCTGTGATACTAACAATGTTACATGGCAGAATGACAGGAATGTCAGCAATTAGTTGATTTTGAAGGAAAAAGAGAGCCCAAAAAGGAAAACGGAAAGAAATCTGGGGAAATTCAAGAAGAAAGTGAAACGCAGAATGCAGGTCTATAGCTGAAATGATTAAAACTTAGTGTTGATAGGAATTCAGGGTGCTTCCCACACAATGACTGGCTGGTGGCCCACAGAGAAGCGACGTGAGCCTGCTGTCCAGCTCCAGGGGAAACGGGCTCACACTCACTTGGCACTCTGGAGTCTCATGAGAGGCAAAAGCCCCGAATGCTTAACCAGGGAGCTGTCTTCTAACCCCCGAAGTGCCAAAAATGAAAACAGGGATGTTGGGATGTGTGAGGGAATCACTGATTTTCCTATTGTAAAAACCGAAGAGAAGAAAGCTACTGAAATCTTCATATGTCAAATAGCTTAAGGCGTGAATACTATTTTGTGGCCACTGGCCTGAGTGAAGAACCCTAAGCTTGGCTGAATTAGCCTAACGCATCAGAAATCACATTGCTTGTTTAAAGAGAAGCTTTTCCAACAGTGTAACGTTTAATGAGTTTTCACCTATAAAAGCTTCAAGGAAGGATTCTGTCTCTAGCCCCTGCTATATTAACATAAGAACTAACTATTTATAATCTGCAAATATTGTTTTATGGATAAAGATCCCCCAGTGCATACAGGGTTGGAGACAGCAAGCTATTCTGAAGTAGTAACATGGTAATTAGACCATTTAAATGTGTGTACCTAGGATAGAAGTGAAGTTCCTGGATAGATCTTGGCTAAGGAAAGACCTAATGACCCTGCGTCATGGTAACTTCCGACACAAAGTACAGCTGCCTCCAAGAAACTGCAGTATTCAGCAGCAAATTGTCACTGAGGCTCTACAGGCCCTTTCTTGGCCAAGTCCACATCTTGTTTAAATCCTTCAAGCAGATGTGAAAAGACTGGATTTGCCAAAGGGGAGTGTATATTTTCTTTTTCACTGTGACCTACAATTGTTTTTTGGCTGACAATTCTGATTTCTCATTTGCTTTGCCAGCAACGTTTACCACAGCAGAAGCGAAGCAGGAATGATAAGTTGGATGCTCTCGTTTCCTGCCTACCCAAAATAGGGGAAAGCTGTGCAAAAGCAGAAGGAAAACCAAGGACGGACATCCACAGTGATTATCCCACTCAGACACATAACCAGCAGTGTCCAAAACTGAGCCTTGCTGTGCTGGTTATGGCTGGGATAGAGTTAATTTTCTTCACAGTAGCTAGTATGGGGCTATGTTTTGGGTTTGTGCTGAAAACAGCGTTGGTAACACAGAGATGTTTTCGTTACTGCTGAGCACTGCTTACACAGAGTCAAGGCTTTTCTGCTTCTCACCCCACCCCACCAGTGAGCAGGCTGGGGGTGCACAAGGAGCTGGGAGGGGGCACAGC